GGATAGATACGAAAGAGCTACGTGTGGCTTGATCCCTTAGTAGGGTACGTAGGCAGCCTGAAGTTACTAGGTGCAGCCACAGATTAGACCCCACTTAGGTGGTCTTATTGAGATTGGTTCGGACCTTGTTGTTGGTCCTGAAACTTGGTTGAATTGAGATTGGTCCTGAGGACTAAGTGGGTGAAGGTGTGCGTAAATAGATTTTGAATTTATTATATGCATGTTTGATGTATTAAGTTATTTTAAAAACATTGTGGGCAGTTCTGCTAGAATCATTTGGAGGCCGGAGGCCATTTATGTAAATTGCATGAGATTATATTGTGCGTGCTGCCGGTTGGGTCATAAAATGTGTTTTATGCAGGTGGAAATTTTAGGGAAATGTTCAATTTACAGGGGAGACTCTGCCGAAATTTCGGCAGAAAGTCTCGTGCCCTTAATCCTCTATGGTAAACGAGGACGTAGATTTAAGGAGTGAACCCGGCGTGGGTGTGATGCCGGGGTCTCTGCAGGGTTCGTCTCGGGTTCCAGGAAATTCGGGACGGGTCCTGTCATTCTCACACATTTGTTATTTTGAATACCCATTTGACTTGGCCATTGATAGGCTAAAAGACACAGAGAAAAACATTATCATTTTTATGGATGTTATTTCCACCATTTTGTTCTATTTCTCCACCCGCCTTATTTCAATATTTTAAAGACAAGTTTATCCCTTGATAAAATGACTTCTAAAGACTGACATTACCGACCTAAAAAAAGCTAGAAACTAAACTTAGTTTAAGAATTAATCCAACGTGGATGCTAACAAATTTAAATTTTTTTATTAAATTTTTTTAAAACATTAAAAACTATTGTAAAAAAAACCCCAACAGCACCCACCCATCAAGGAGTTCTCCCGGCCCAGCGACCACCATCTACCAAAACCCTAACAACACATTCCAGCCCAGCTAACTCTCCAGACACCTAACCCCAAAAATATGAAAACTCCCCAAAATGGTTCACACATTCCACCCGTATGCCGCTGCCTCCACTCGCATCCGCAACTTCTTGACCCCATTCTAGCTCCGGAAGAAGTACTCGTGGTGGTGCCAGATCCTCGAACCGAGATTCAAATGTGTGACTGGAACTACATCTTCTTCGTCATCTGCATCATGGGCCTCTTCCTTGACCCCATCTACTTCTTCCTCCCTAGCATCGACGAATCCTCCTGCATGAAAATCGACATGGGGTTTCAACCGCTGGATTAACTCTTCAGATTGGAGACTGGCCAAATTCCTTCAGATGTTTTTGCTTCACAAACGTCTTCTGCTCAATTAGTAGCAAATTGATTTCACCCTAAGTTTTAATGCCCACAAAGACTTTTTAGTACTAAAAAATTGTGGTTAGTAAATCCCTTTGCATGTGAAAAGATAAAAGGACGAACAAATAAAAAAGGGTAAATTTTATTTTACTAATCGGAAGTTTCCTAAAATTCAGACATTACTGCATCAAGATTTGACTTTTCTACTATTTTCAACTTTGTGCTAAAAGTTTGACTTTTCTACTATTTTCATACATATATCAGTCATTCAGTCAAATGCTCTGTTAGATGGTGACATGGCAAATGATGTGGGATTTAAGAAACCCACAAATTATTTAAAAATAGTAAATACATTTATAAAAATTAAAAAATTAAAAACATAAATATATTTTTTTTAAATTTAAAAAAAAAAAAAACTCTCTCCACCTCATTTCTCTTCTTCTCAATTTGCATCCAAATTTGAAAACGCATTAACTACATCCGTGAGATTTTTTTATTACTATTAAAAAAATCATGACACATTCTATACAGCTTATAACTCGACTATCATAAAGTCAATAACACAACTAGCATGGATATTGGCAAGAAAATCAGATATTTCTTGCTCTTGAAAGCGAATGATATAATTTCTTCTTGACAAATGATATTATGGTTGAGAAACGGCACATACACAAAGCAGCATGCTAGTGCAAGCTTGGCTCATGGCTTCCTTCTCTTCCTCTTATTCTCTTGCATTATATCTACAAATATTCAAGCCTGCTAACAAACTGAACGCAACTTCCTCTTGTCTTTTGCCTTCACTCTATTTTCTTCTCCTTTAAATTGGGCATCCCTTGATTGCTGTCGTTGAAAGGGCATCACTTGTGATCAAGATGGTTGGGTCACCCGTTTGCTGTTGCCTTCCAAAGTGCTCGAAGAAGATATCTCTCCCTTTTCACTTGCAAATCTCACGCATCTCACGGTCTCACCCACTTGAACCTTTCCCACAATTCACTATGTGGTTCACTTGAAACTCAGTTCTTCTTGTCTTTGAATCGACTTGAGATCCTTGACTTGAGCTGTAAGGGTCCTTCTATAGAGCTACCAATTTCTCTACCATCCAACAATATCCGGACAGTTGATTTGTCCAGCAATCACTTCTTTGTTGCAATTATATCTTCATTCTTCCAACAAGCAAGAAACTTAACTAGTTTCAATGTCAGCAACAATAGCTTCACAGGCTATGTCCCATCCTCTATTTGTCTCCAACATTCTTCTCCCTTCTTTAGGCTATTGGATTTTTCTTCCAATCTATTTCATGGTGACCTTGCTCTTGGGTTAGGGAAGGGTTCTGAACTGCAGGTTTTTCGTGCCAGTCATAATAACCTCTCAGGATTACTTCCAAAAGATATTTATAATGCAACCAAACTTGAAGAAAATTGCATTGCCTCTCAATTCACTACCTGGAGCCATCAGTGATAAAATTGTCAACCTCACCAACCTTGCCATCCTTGACCTCTACTTTAATCATTTTGGTCGCAAGCTTCCTCTCAATTTGGGGAAGCTCTCCAAGTTGAAGTTTGTGACCTTTGATTTCAACAATTTAGAAGGTGATTTGCCCCCATCTTTGATGAATTGCACAAACCTTATAGAACTGCGTCTGGGAAACAACAACTTGAGAGGTGATATCTCCATGCTTGCTTTTTCAGGACTAAGTCAACTTACTAAAGTTGACCTAAGAATCAATAACTTCACTGGTACGGTTCCAGTAAGCCTTTACTCTTGTAGGTCCTTAAAAACCATTCGGTTGACTTGGAATCATCTAAAGGGACAAATACAAGCTGAGATTCTTTCATTGAAATCCTTGTCCTTCCTCTCACTTGGTTACAACCGATTCACCAACCTCATAGGAGCAATGAAGATATTGATGAGTTGCGGAAGCCTTCACGCACTCTTGCTTAGTGGTTCCTTTTAGGGGTAAGGGAATGCCATCTGATGATGACATGGTTGATTTTGATGAATTCCCAAATCCTCGGCTCTTGGGTTTGGTTCTTTCTGACCTCATTGATCAAATACCTTTATGGTTACCAAAGTTCAAGAATCTAGAGATCCTGGCTCTGGGATTTAATCAGATCATAGGGCCAATTCCAAGTTGGTTGGGGACTCTTCCTAGACTGTTTTATATAAGCTTGTCACACAACCGAATTTCTGGTGAATTTCCACAGCAACTTTGTCGACTACCGAGGTTGCTTTATGAACCAATTGCATCTCAAGTAGATAAATATGAATTTGAATTTCTTGTCTTCAGCAACAGCGTCAGCAAAACTGCAAATCAAACTTTTCTATCCCGAAAATTATATTTTTATCTAGAAATGATAGACTTATCTAACAATAACATGAGTGGTTATATACCTGTTGAGATCGGCCAACTGCAACTTCTCTGCAAGTTGGCTCTTGACTCCAACAACTTCTCCGGCATCATTCCAAACCAAATATCTAAGCTAAAAACAATAAAGATGAGGACAATGGACTTCATCAACTTCCGTGGTTTTATATCTTTGCAACATTGTGATTCATAGTAGGATTTTGGGGAGTTTGTGGTTCTTTAGTTATTAACAAGACAAGGAGATTTGCATATTTTTTATTCATAGACAATGTACAAGATAGGCTCCTCTATGTGATGATAACAGTCACCATCAACAGGATGAAAAGAAGGCTTAGAGGCTAGATATGTATTATTAATATTGTACTTTTTATTTTGCATTTTCAGTTTGCTTTTCCTTTCTTTTTCTTTTTTTCTTTCATTTTTTTCAAAGTAACTGGACTCAAATTTAAAGGATATATGTTGTTCTGTTCATATTGCAGACAAGTGAAGGTTCTGAACCTTGATTTCAACATTTTGCTCCACAGTATGAATTAATAGAAAAGATTTTTATAACATGAATAGGGCATCAATGTATGTTTACATCTGGCCTGACTGTTATCAATTTCAACATTTTTCTCCACAACTCAATGCTCTGTTATTTTTTAATTAAGCCTTTTTAATTTTATGTAATTTTAATTTTAATTTAATTTTTCTCCACTACTCAGTGATACGTGATATTTTTTTATGTAGTTGCCTTGATGTGGGCAAACAACTTGGAAAGAATGACTAACCTCCAATTTTCTTATAAAAAATCATCAACAAGAAAACAACTTGGAACTTGGACTTTGATTGACATGGAAGATGCGCTGGTATCATATATCAGCTACCTTAAAAATCAAAAATGAAATTTCAGTATAAGAAGATCTTCGATTGAGGATGAAACTGCTGTTTGTGCCTAATAAAACACGGTCATGAATTGATTGAAGGGACTTCCCTTCGGCCCTGGCGCCTACCGTTTCATCAAGCATTTCGCCCTCCTAAGAGCAAAAGAAAAGCTGCAAAGGCAGAATTCCCTCGGCCTCACGACCGCAGTTTTGAAGGCCGAGGCCGAAGGCCATAAAAGACACGGTCTGAAAAGCTGTGGTTGAATCGCCACGTGACCTCAGGGCCCCGCGCTTCATTTAATGAAGTAATGCCTCTGACTTCGCAGCAAAACCCACTAGTCACAAGAAGTATTCAATGCACGAGGGAAGTGACTGAAGTCAGGATTTGGTGATGGGAATCAGGGTGGTTAGGCGCAGACATTCTCACAAGTAATCTTACGACTTAGGGTCAGATCATCAACCACCAGTCCAGGGCATTAAATGCGTTCCAACGGCCAAGGGGGCAGAACCCACGATCAAGGCGGTGGCCAAGATTTGCCGAGATTTATGAAGGTCACACCACCATGCTTCTCAACCCTAGACCACCATGCTTCACGATCCCAAATGCCGATTTGACTACCTACTTGCCTGGCCAGGAGCAGGTCTTCTCAGCCTCGAATGTCCCTCCAAGACTCCTATAAATGCTAAGCTCAGGACTACATTCAAAGGGTTCAAACACTAAAACCAAAAGTCTCCCACAGAGCAAATTATATTTTCCTGTAATGCACTTTCAATACCTTTATTTGCTTTCTTAGGAGTAGTGGTAGACTGTAAGGAAAATTCATTCATCAATAAATCATACGACCCTTGATTTTCAAGACGCCGGAGCACCATCTCTGTTATCGCCTCACTCACCCCATATATCATACGACCGTCGCTCTTTGAGCAACGCGCCGGAGCACCGCCTAAAACCCACCACCAACACCACCACTAAACGGCATTGTAGCTCAAGTCGTGAACCTGACGGCTGAGATTCGTTCCTCACTCGGCCACAATCGTTTGATTAGGAGTCGAACGCAAAACAGGCGCAACATTTAAACCATCTTCTACCCGAACCTCATCATCATCTCGACGCATGGTAGACCGTGCTGGCACGCCCGCGCACAACCGCACCGCATCCAAAAGGAGGACGTCACGTGTTGACGCACATCCCCTCGGCCCGGAGCACCAAGCCGCGAGATTTGCGACGGACCAACAACTGCTTCGGAGTTAATGCCTCATATGCAAGTGACACATAAAATTTCACACGCAATGAACTCCCACATAAATTAGCTTTGTTGCGCTGGAAAGTTGATTTATATTCGAGCTTTTTTTTTTTTGCAAAGGTATTTTTGACTTAATTTCTTCCAATAGCATTTCACTAAGGCATAGTTTAGGTCTACGTAGATTAGCTTTCTATAGATCAGCTTTTTGTAGTTTCTATTGCTCTTTGTCGTTGGTCCTATGGTTCTCTTAGGACCCTAAAGTTATATTGTTCGTCTATATTAGCCGCGAAGTATGGGATTACAAATCTTGGTGATTGGCATTACAAATCTTCCGAGGCCTTTAGTCTTTAAAATCGGACCTGTAATAACTCTATATCATGGGCATAATGGTCTGATTTATATAGCATGGTTTTGATCACTTTTACATACTAAATTTTAGATAGATTGATATCTTCGACGTTTCGACAAGTACCTGCAATTGTATCATATACATCAATTATTAATGTTGCCTGAAATTTATATTTTGTACTAACTACCACACATAACCAACTACGGTATAAAAGATATGATCCCTCTCTAATGTAGTTCACATTGATTGATGCATTTTCTTCTGTCTCAACTACAGTGAGGAAGAAGCAAGGATGAAGATCTACACAGTTTCTCATAGGTGCTATTATGCATTTGGGGCACTTGTGTCTGAAGAGACTTCGTACAAAATCAAAGGTACTTCTGCATCAAATTATTGCTTGGGCTTTTGGTTATTTATTTTTTTTTTATTTATAGTCAAATTATTCCAGAATTGCTTAGAGTCCGGTGGGTACTTTTTGTTTCTATTTTGTTTTCCTGGGAAATGAAATTGTGGAGCTATTTTGAGGATCTCTTAGTTGGGTCAGGTCTCTAAAGCCCGATTGATTTGTACTTCTAATTCTGTGTAGTTGCCTTCTTGTGGGGCAAACAACTTGTAAAGAATTGACTATCCTCCAATTTTGAATATTCTTAGAAGAATCATCAACAAGAAAACAACTTTGAAAATGAATAGAACGTCAATGTATAATGTTGGATCAGGCTTGACAAGCACTGTCACTCTCAGGCCATATCTATCTGGCAAGAAAAATAACACCATATATCTTCCAAAGTCGTTGAAAAATTATCATCATAACGAAAGAAAACACCAATGAGGGAAAGCGCACGTCAAACGTGTGGAGATAAGATACTCAAAAGACGAAGATGAGTTCTTAGAAGAATCATCAACAAGAAAAACAACTTTGAACTTGGACTTCGAGTGATTAACATGGAACATGAGCTGGTATCCGATTTCTCAATTTAAACTTTGCGCGACCAATATTCCACTATTCGTCGCGCAAAACATTGAGCGACCAATAATCCAATATTTTTCGTCGCGCAAAACTTTGAGTGACCAACAATATTGTTCGTCACGCAAAGTGATACGGTTTTTAAAATGAAAATAACTCCTCCACCATTTTCTCAATGTCTTTCTCTTACCTCTCCTCTCTCTTTC